GTTTTATTACCATGAATCTTTAGATGCAACCTTAAAAACATATGCCTACATGGAAGGATCACTGGACACTTCCTACATCAATCATTTTGATAGCTTGATTAAGATGCGTGAAACAATTTTCTCTCTGGATTCAGGGCCTTCTTTTCAGGATGCATGTAACTTAACTGAAGACATCGAGAAAACAAAATGAAGTAGGGCAAAGGTCCTTGACCAATTTTCCCCCCACATCTCTGACATAAATCATATCCCAGAATAAAAACATTTGTTTCAAATGGGGGAAGGTTCAGCAAAGCACTTTACAATAAAAGAAGAGATTCATCCAAGTTTCTTCACCTGTAAAGGAATTTTGCCCTCTGTGGATCCTTGGTCTTGTTTTCTTGCAGCTAATGGGACCCCTATTTGTATCTATGGTAACTTGTTTTGTTTTTCAACTAAGTTAGTAACAATTATAACGACTAGGAGAATTGAAGAACATAGTCTGTGAGAGTGGACCAATTTTATAACAGCTTTCAGACAGACATTGTCACTTGAACCACACCCTAACTTCTTAACCAAAGTGTTCTCAGCATTTTATTTCTCATTTCCCACATTTGTTTACTAAACTTTGTTTGAACATGCTCTAAATGTTTATAGCACTCCAGATTTGTACTTAGAACTAAAAGTATTAGGTAGTAATAACCCAGCTGCATGTACTTTCAATATAATTGTGAGATAAAACAGGGAATAAGCCATAAAATTATTACACATTTTGCATATAATTAACTTTAAGGCAGGTTCTCATCATGCCATAAATTGAACATGGTCCCAGGCTCCCCCTGTCCCAACAGTATGGTGCAATTGGGATCTGATCCTTGATTCTGCAGTCACACTTCCTACCATGCATGTGTGGCACTGCAGGAGGCACAATTGTTGGGATTGTGGATAAATTCATAGAAAATTAGGGTCGGAAGGGACTTTAGGGAGGCCATCTAATCCACCTCCCTGCTCAAAGCAGGACCATTCCCAACTAGATCATCCCAGCCAAGATTTTATCTACCTGGGTTTTAAAAACCTCAAAGATGGAGATTCCACAACTTCTCTGGGTAGCTTGTTCCAGTGCTTTACTGCTTTCCCAGTGAGAGAGTTTGTCCTTATATCTAACCTCAACTTCCCTTGCTGCAACTTGAGACCATTGCTCCTCCTTCTGTCATCTGCCACCACCAAGAACAGTCTAGCTCCATCCTCTTTAGACAGCAACCATTCTGTTCAGATCCAGGCTCACTATTTGACTGCTCAAGAGGGGCACACTGTTGGCTCACATTCAGCTTATCCACAGTAATCCCCAGGTCCTTTTCTGCAGAGCTGATGCTCAGCCAGTTAGTCCCCAGCCTGTACTGGTACCTGGGATTGCTCCATCCTGAGTGAAGCACTTTGCACTTATCCTAGTTGAACTTCATCAGATTTCTTTTGTTCTGGTCTTCCAATTTGTCTAGGTCTCTCTGAATCCAGCATCTCTACTCTTCCACCCAGCTTGATATCATCTGCAAACTTTCTGAGGGTGCATTGCATCCCATCTTCCAGATCACTGATGATGACAAACAAAACTATCCACAGGACTGAGCCCTGGGGCACTCCACTTCACAGCTGCCAAATAGACGTCAAGCCATTGATTTTGAGCCTGAAGATCCAGCCAGTTTTCTGTCCACCTTACAGTCCATTCATTCAACTCATATTACCTTAGCTTGCTTGTGAGAATGTTGTAGGAGACCTGTATCAAAAACCTTGCTAAAGTCAAGGTATATCATGTCCAATGCTCTCCCTTCAGTGTTTAGAAGTTAGTGGTTAAGTGTTTCTATAATAATCCAAAGAATCATCAACTAAATGAAGGGCTGGAGCTTCTGGTGTGGGACACAACTGAATATTACAGGGATGGACGTAACCTGGCAGGAGTAGCATTTGGTTTTAGTTAAAGCACTTGGAAGACAAATTCAGATATGTTGCAGTTAGGGTACCAGTTGGCATTCTTTATTCTTTCATGGTTGGATTGAATATCGATAGAGATCTCCATCATTAACGAGACTGAGGAATACATAGTGGTAACTGTCATGGTGAAAGGTATTGATTTCCCTACTATAGTCCAGAGAGAAATAATTCTTACAATTATGGTGGGGCCCAGTTATTCTTGGATATGGTAGGTGATGGATTTTTTTTACCCTATGGTCACTGATCCAAGAAGGGATGCTGCTTTATAAAGTCCTCTAAAAACAAATTAGTAGAGCTGCTTATAGGGAATAATGCACTCAAGTTGCAAGAGCCAGAGATTCTCTGTTCTTGAATACTGCGAAAATTGGCATGTGAAATCAAAAATCCAAGAGCAAAGATGTTTAACCTATTTTAGAAGAAATTTTGAAGGAAGGATGAGGGCAAAAGGAAAATTTGGACAACATTCAGTGTAAATTGATTAACTGAATAAAGATTGAGCCAGACTAACCTGATATTTTTCTTTGATAACTTTTTTTTTAAATCAAAATAAATACAGTACATCTGTATGGACTTCAGTAATACCTCTGGATATGGTGTTATATGAAAATGTATTAGTTAAACTGGAAGAAATGGTGATGAGTATAGAGGCTGCAAAGAATAAGCAGAAGTAACTGTTTGGAGAATGACAATGGGAAGAAGTGGTGGACTGAATGCAGGTTACTAGTAGAGTTCTTTTGAGTATTGGTGTTGCAACCAATTTTATTTAATAATTTTCATTAATTACAGTACTTTCCTGCTGTTTATAAGAACAAAATTTTCTGATCGCACAAAGGAAACATCATCAATAGCAAGGACAGTGAGAAATATCCCACTGGAAGAATGTGGGTAACTGTGAACTACAGTAATAGAATTGGGATGAAATACTGTGTTTTCTCACATAACAGCATACCCCCAAATAAAATGTGCACCTTGTTTTTGGAATGCAGAATATAGGAAAAAAAGACTTTTTTTTTTCCCCAGAGTCATGGCCAACTGTGTGACATGTAGTAAGTCCTTCTGAAAACGCAGTGCATCCCAGAAGTGTGGCATCCTGATGTGCTAGACCAGTGGTTCCCAACCTTTTTTGGCCATAACCCACTACTGGGAGCAGAGTGCAGTGGCAGCCCAGAGGCAGGGGCGGGGGAGCTCCCAGCACACAGCATGTTTTGTCCATTGTGTGTGGCGCTGCTGGCATTGCCCTCACGACCCTCATTTGGGTTGGGAACCACTGTGCTAAACTGTTTCCTGTGATGTCACGCTTCCTGGACACGGTGGCTGCTTGCAGATGTTAAAAAAAAAATGAAATTGCTTTACCAGAAGCAGCAGTACATTACTTCAACCCAGCTCTGCAATGTCTGTATAGATCAGGTGCTTTTTTGGCACTTTGAGCTAAACCTGATTCAATCAGAGCTTCAAAAAGATTTTAAAAGCCTGATCTTTACAGATGTTGGGTGAGCTGGGTTGAAGTAATGCGCTGCCTCTTCTGGGCATGTGGGGGGCTCAGCACATTAAAGTAAAGTGCCATTTATGTGGTGGGGTTTGTTTGTTTGTTTGTTTTTCTTTTTTTCTTTTTTTAAACATCTGGAAGTATCCTGTGTTTCCAGGAGGATGTATTCTGTCATACCAGGCTAGTCCCAGAACCCTTGCAAAGGGTAGTAGCAGGACAATAATTCTTTACTGTAAGTAGCTTTTTATATAATATCCTGTAAATAAAGTATTGTTTCCCACATCTTGATATTAGGATGCTACTAGCAGCTTCAGGTATAAGCTATAGTACTTGGTCAGTAACTACAGCTGTGGGAGGTTTAACGCAGGACTCCACTCCTTCAGTTTGCTGAGAAAACAAAAGCAGGAGCCATTTGGGCAGCTGACATGCACAGCGTCTCCAGGAGTGCTCCTTTTCCAGTGAAGAAAACAGATTCCCATCTTGAAGCATGCAACCTAATTTGCAGGTGGGGAGGGGGCATGAAGGGGAGTGCTGATTTGGGGGAGACAGGTGCAAGTTGAATAAGAGAAAACAATGGGCAGTGTAAGGCCATACGCAGAGACTAATGACAAGAATATCTGCTAAGCTGAAGGTTTGTCAGTTGGCAGAAGATGGTAAAAGCCTGGAAATATTAACAGAATGACAGAGTTACTAATGTAATGTGGCTGTGAAAAAGGCCAATGCAATCATAGGTTGTGTTAGGCAAGTTATTTCTGCAGACAAAAATAATAATGTCACTGAACAAGACGTGTACTCATTTGGATTACCATGTATAATTCTGGCCATACATGTTCAGGAAGGCCTTTCTCTGTACCTATTTGTTTGAATTAGTCTACTATTATTGTTAGGGGAACAAAGGCTGTCCTCTGAACAGAGACAAAAAGAGTATGGCTTGTTTACCCTTGCAAAAGGCATGCATGTGATTGCTGTCTAGAATATATCAAAGTAAGCACCAGGGAGGGTAAAAATGTAATTAAAGGGTATTTAATTACTTGTTTAAAAAAAAAAAGCGCCTGTAAAATTGGCCAAAAATAAATTTAGGTTGAAATTTTCAGAAGGTTTCTAACATCAGAGAAGTGAAATCTTGGAAACACTTCCAATAGGAACAGTTACTAATTTTAGGATCAGAGATTGGGACTCTGATGTGATAGATCTCTTTTTAGTCCTACCTATGTTCCTGTGAAGTACCCCCTCCTCTTTGTTAGTTTTCTGCCTTGTTTTAAAGGCATACTGTTGAAGCAGTCAGAAAGGTACTACCTTCTACTTCTGAAACCACTTGTATGTTGGCTTCAGGTAAGTATTTGAGGTTATTTCTGATTACAACCAATAACTTTTAGGATGAAAGGATGCAATTGAACCAGGTAAATTTTTTGTTTGTTGTTTTTTAATCTGATTGCCAGAGACCAATTTGGTGTTTATGGTTAAATCACTTGCACATGCCTCTGACTGTAGTATTCAATATCAGGGCGTCTCTTTCATAACTAAGCTCTTCTTTTTTTATTATTATTATTAGGAGGATCAAGTGAGAATGGAAAGACTCATCATACCTCAGATTCAGATGGAACATTTATTTCTTACAGGTGGGCATGCTTACTATTGTTAAGTATCTTTGTTTGAATAGGTTAGAAATCATCAACTACTTAGAGTGAAAGAAATGGCCTGGATTATTTAAGAGTACTATACAATTTACTGTAGCATGCTCTATTCAGTAGAATGATGAGATGTTTTTGTTTTCTAATGAATGAATAATTAAAAGTTTTTTGGAACTTATTTTGTTAGATGGAGAAAAGCTAGGTAAGACTATTGAATCATGAAGGGGTCACATCTTGACCTTGTGGTTTTTAAGAATGTACTAGTGCTAAGGTATAAATTAGCTCTAATAAAATACTCAGCTCACCAATGCAGTCTTGGTGATCTTCTGCAAAGACACTGACCACCAGGGATCTGGGTTTTCTGCTAGCTGCAGAAAAATGCAGATTTTCTTCTTTAAAAGAGAAAGCTGTGAGAAACAGCGGTTTTCCCCTTGCAGGCTGGCAGCCTTCCAGTGGGAGAAGGGGGTGAGTAGGGGTCCTTCAGGGAACTGCATGCCTGGGGGCCAGTGTCCATGCTGCTAGTGATGAGGCAACCTGGAGACACAGCCCCAGGAGGAGAAGGGCGGCTGTGGCCAGGATGCCTAGTGCAAGGTGGGAGCCCCAGCCCAGGGTCGGGGGTGCCACTGGCTTCCCTTCCTTATCTCTGTGGCCCACACCAGGGATGGACTCACTCCACCACTGTCTGCATGAGTTGGAGCCATCACAGCCATTGTGTTCCATCCTGGGTGGAATGGGGCCTGGAGCCCCTCCCTCTTCTCCTGCTGCCTGCAGCATGGCTAGGCCAGAACTTTGCTTCATGCTGCTGCTGTGCTGCAGCCAAAGCCCCAGCTGATGGTGCGGGGTACTGTGAGACGTTCCCGCTGCTGCCTTTGGTTCTGCTTGAGGTATGCACACTGTTTGCACCTCATGCTGGAGGCTGTCCCAGTGATCTACAGGGACACAGTGATCCTGTGAGTCTGTGTGGGGCTGGGTGGAGGCAGCTGGAGGCCCCCTTCTGCGGGCTGGGGTGGGTAGAGAGCTGCAGGTCAGGAGTGAGGGGCACCGGCAGTGCTGCAGGGGCTGTGGCTTGGGAGTGAGGGGCACCGAGAGGGCAGGGGATTGTGGGTCAGAAGTGAGGGGCACTGGCAGGGCCAGGGGGCTTTGGGTTGGGAATGAGGAGCACGTGCATGTGCTGGGAGCAAGGGCCCAGGGGCCTGTGTGTTGAGAGTGAGGGGTACCAGCAGGGGCAGGGCTGCTCAGTTCCACAAAGCAGCGGGGGAGGATACAGTGGCAGCTGGACCTGCATCATGGTGAGCGAAAATGGTAGGGGGAGCTCTGATTTTGCTATGATAAAAAATCCATAATCAAATGCCAAAATTATATAGGTATTTAGAATGTCTTTTATTATAATGATTGAGGCACTGGTAGGCTTCCAAATTCCTTTAAAATTGTAAATATCTCAATAAGACATTGTGGGGAAAATGTAGATTTGGGGGGTTTTAATCAAAGTATTTGGGATTTTTTAAATCGGAGAATTTACCATTTTTAAGCAGAGAAAACCAGGGTCCTTGATCACTCAGGAGAGTAGTAAACTTTGTTAAAATCTAATTTGGAGTTATCATTCAGAAACAGAACAGTACTACACCTCAATTTATAATAAACACAGGAAGCACCAGTTAAGAAACTGGGGAATGGAATAAACTTGTGCTAGCATTTTCATCATATCTTGAATCTTGCTGTAATAAGTGTTTCAGGCTGTTTGTACTTGGAAGCACAGAGAACTAATAGGAGGGAATATTCAAGTGCTCCTCACTGTGTAAGCTAATAGCTCAGATGACGGAAAGAAATGGTAAAAGTATAGTTTCCTGTAATCCCAGTTACACTATTAAATTAACACGGGCAAACCTGATTAGTTTTTATTCTTGACTTGGAAAATCCAATAGTTTTAATCTGTACTTTTACCCATTTAGATGCCTGTATGTAATGAGATTGATTCTAATGTATGGTAGGTAAAGTCAAACTTATCACCAGAGTCCTTTAGACAATGCAGTATTTATACAGCATGTTGATTTTATATTCCTGGAACACACACAATATAAAAATATAATAGATTAAAACAAGAAGAGCAACAATTACTAAAATTAGCCACTGTTAACAAAATGACTCAGAGGTTCCATTATTAAAAAAAAACAAAAACAAAAAAAAAAAAGAAAGAAAAAAAGAATCTTCAAAACTCCTTAGGGAAGTAAGTCCCTGAAAATAAATGGACTTTGCAGCACTAGCTGAGGTCATCAAAGTAGGACCTAGTCAGACCAGCAAAGTGAATTTCAACAGTTAGGGGCTCTTCTCTGAAAATATCTGCCATTAGCTCAAAAACACTGAAATCTGGAGCTGTTAGGACCAGCATTTCAACAGATTCCCTTTGCCAAGTTTAAAACGTGAAAATACTCAACTTCATATAGCAGCTGAGAACACATCTGTACTTCTTCGGACAAAGATAGTAAGGTATATTTTCTTGTACCATTCTTCATTTGACCTGAAGGCTAAATACAGACAGTCAAAAAGTTTGAGGCTGAATCAATTCATTCTTTGCAGGGTAGTCTAAACTGCACAGATTAACTAAAACAGAAATGAACAGACATTTACCTTTGATTCTGGAAATGCAAATACATGCCTGCAGTGCTTTGGCCAGAAGCCAGGGGGTCCTAGAGCACAGCTCTCTGGCTGTGTGTTCACTTCCTCTTCCTGCTGCCCCTGAGGTCTGTGTGATTTGGGCTAAGGACAGACATGTAAAAAGCCTGAGCCTGAATTGATTTAATCTTTGCAGGTTAGTCTAACCTGGCTAGGCTAAATGAGTTGTGTAACTACACAGGCATCCTAGAAATTCAGGCACATGCCTGCAGTGGCTCAGGCTAGAAGCCGGGGGGGCGGTGCTAGAGCATCCCTCCCTTCCCTTCCACAGTGCTGACCTGGGGGGGGGGGTATGACCAGGCCCTAGTGGGACACTGATGATCATACCCTCCCCACCAAGCAGCCAAGCAGGGACTGTTCATCACCCCTAACTCGGTGTTTATCAACCCATTAAGAAAACAAAGCCTCTCTCCATTAACTAATGGAGCTCTTCTTAAACAGCTCTTCCAAGGAAGGACATTATGCTACCTGTTGGTTAACTCCAAAAAGCCTGTCTGCCTGTCTTCTCCCACAGCAGGGACTGTAGCCAGCAAGCAGTCTGCTAGCTAATGCTGAGGTGTCTGTATAAGGCGGGAGGAGGGGGTGTAATAATCCCTGCTTAGCAGGGAGAAGCCTGACAAATGCTCTGTGCCTGCAAGTCTCTGCTGGAGCTTTGGCCAGGGAGGAGAGGGGATGGGCCAGCTCTGTTGTGGAGCAGAGAGCCCTGCCCAGCCCAGAGAGCATGCGAGCATGCTGGGGGTGTCTGGTGTATCTTAAACCAGCAAGGGATCTGGGACAGACATTGCATAAACTGGTTTGACCCAAATCAATGAAGTCTGATACTACATTCAACCAGGTTTATCTCAAACTGGTTTCAGCCATTTTAACTGACTTATGTGTACTGAATATCTGTTCTGTTACAGGTTTCAGCCAGTTTCTGATCACTTAAACTGGTTAATGTGTAATGTCTGTTCCTAGCCTTGCAGTCCAGAATTACAACAGCAGGACTGTGCAGGGTTGCTCATCACTTCCTCTTCCTGCTTTCAGGTGCCTCTGGGTTTATAGTCCACAGTTGCAGCCAACAGTAAGTTTGAGCTGGGGAAGGGATGTTTAACCCCCTTCCCTGGCCCCAGATCCCAGCCAGGGCTTGCCTGGAGGGGAGACACCCCCCACCTTGCATAGACTGGACTGCATCCCCAGCTGGACTTGTTCTCCCCTCTCCTCCTTGTCAGCCATCCCTCACTGCTCCAGCTAGGGAGCAGAGGAGTGGGGCCATCCGTGCTGTCTGGAGCAGACAGTACAGCCCAGCCCAGGGCTGGAAAGCATGCTCGGGGACTGTGATTTAACTTGAACCAGGAAGAGGTCTGGGACAGAGATTTCATACACCAGTTTAACCCAAATCAGTTAAGTGTGGTACTACCTTCAGGCAGTTTTATCTTAAACCAGTTTCAGCTATTTTGAAATTTGGTTTATGTGTACCGAGCTTCTCTTCTGTTACAGGTTTAAGCCAGTTCCTGATCACTTAAACCGGTTTATATGCAACTTCTGCCCTAGTCAGGAGGCTGAGTTTGGACCATATGCTGCAATCCCTTTGCAATGTTGCAGCCATAAAGCTTTCCTAAATAACCAAATAGTCTTCCAGGATTTGAGAATTCTGTCATGATCTGTCAGCCTCCAGGTGCAGGTTCTTTTACTTGGAGAGGCATGACTATAGTTTGTGCTGCATTCTCTGTTGCATGCTGGCCCATGTTCTAAGGCTCCTCTAAGTTATCTTGCAGGCCCAACCTACAGCTAGTTTTTCTGAGAAACTAGGCGGGCACAAAGATGCCCTTTGTTCCCCCACTTCCCGTAGCACCAAGTACACATAATAGTGCCTTAGGTATACCTTTATTGAATAGTAATTGTATTCTGTAAAAGAGACTTCCAGAAAAACTTTACAGAACTAAGAATGAAGTTAACTACTATTTTAAATTCGGTGCTTATCTGTATTGCAATGCCAGAATATTAATTTATTGTTATAATTAAAGAAGCAAAATGATATGGGAAGATAGTACAGTATATATAGAAAAGAAACCTCTGTATAGTTGGCAAACTAGCACTGTTATTAAGTACTATTACAGTATTTAAGGTGTGAAATGAAATATTTTCTGCTCAATGGCAAGGAGCTCTTACCATATAATGCAAGTTTACTGGTTGGGTTGAACACAATATTGATAGTCATAGGTCTGCACTATGTTAAGATAAATAGACAATACCTTGATGAGCAAGGAAATTAGTTAAACTACATTGAAGCATAATAATGGTAAAGCTTTACCTGTAAATGCATGTTTTTTCACTAA